GTCCACCCAAAGTTGCGACTACTCCGAATAGGAAGATAAAGAGGATGCATGAGAAAAAGATAGCAGCGTGAAACTGGCAACACTGAGAGCTCGTGTCGTTATGAAATGAAACTTACTGTTTCGCGTACCGTAACAAATATAGCGAGTATATGTACTCTCTCGTGGTGTGAGCGTGAAAACATCGGTGAATGCTGCGAAAGTAATCATCCGAGATGATTAATGGAACTATCATCTGTATTGCTTCAGCTGGAGCAATTTTAAAAATCTCAAAGAAATAGAAATATGTTTTTAACACATATGTTAGCAAAAAAAAAAAAGAGATGAAATATCCATTTATGTATGAGATGCGTACGATCCAACTTTATCTTAAAATTTCATTTCGTACAGTTGATCCAAATAATATATCAATGGAAATATCTCTCACAAAGATTTGAATTGAAGCAGATAAACACACACGTTTTCTTACTGCTTTCACAATAGGAATCGATTCGCCATATAAATGACAGGCATCGTCGCAAGTCAAGCGATACGCTAGAAAGACGGCTATACAATAAATAAATTCATATTGAGGATATCGCGGATTAGGATACATAAGTAGATGAAGCGAGGAGTATCTTTAGAGGATATAGTCCAGTTCCTGGAGAGCCGTGTTATTTCTTGGTCCCCGGCCAGCCCGATGGCGCTTCAACTATTTTCTGAATACGTAACTCTTGCCTGCGGAGAGGCAGGCGGCCAAATATTCATGCGACCTCATATCGTGAAATGCAAACGGATGATTCGTCTCTTGCGATACGTAAACTGGATTATGCGCCACTGAGGCAGGATAGAGTTGTAGCGAGAGGTGTACAGCGAATAAAGTAGAAAGCAAAGGAGCCTTACGGGCCGTCTAACGTAGACTCGAAGAATATAAAATCAAAGAGAGTTAAGGTTTTAAAACATTGAATGCCTGCACAATTTTGTTGCCTCCGCAGAGCAGTTATGCCTTTCGGAAACATCTCGCAAACGTAAATTTCATCTAAGTGATTCTTCTTGCTCTTTGTAAACACTTTGTCGTGTTTATCATAATACGCATTGTGATTTGTATAAGCAGCATTTATTTGAAAAATCATTTTCATAGTAAAAAAGTTTGAAGCAGCAATAATAATAGCAATATATAATTTGCATCTACACATAAGAAAGACTTGATAAAATTATTCTTTTTTATTACGGCACAATTAAAGTACAAAGTATAAGATTATAGTATATTACTGATAGTTTGGTAAAAGTTTCTTGAGTAAAATTAGTTCTCCACGCATTCGTGCCAAATTTAGAGGTGCGATATTGGAATACTGTAATACTGTAATGCTGTAATTGGCGTGTAGAATTTTCAAAATATTGGAACGTCGCGTCGCAACGTATTGTTTCGATTAATAATTACAGCAACTTTCAATTAGAGCCATAAAAACTAATGAAATATGAAATACGTACGTATATAATTGTTTCCTCGTTTCCAATTTTCTCTGCCTGAAAACTTTGCGCTTTATTTTAACTCCTATTAAATCACTTTAACCTGATTTGCAAGAGCCAGTAACCCCAACGACATAATTTCTTTTTTTAAATATGTATTTATCCAATTCGTCAAAATTGATATAAAGGTTGGTAGAAATTTCGTGTTAAGATTTAATCGTAATTAATTTAAACGATAAACCAAGCAAACGCGACGGATAGAAGGGAAAAATGTTGTTCTAAAAGTGGACGATTCCGTTTATGTGCCGAGAGTTGTTTACTCATCTCCGCATGATGTGTTTGCGCATTCTCGGTAGAACAACTGTTTTGCCAAAATTTCTTTCCCGGCCCTTTCCAACAGGGAGCGAGCGCGTCTAAAAATTTTACAATCTTTTTACAATCAAAATCAGCTTTTGTCAATAAGCATAAATGAAATTTGAACAATTTTTCCTAATTAATTTTAAAAACAGTCCGTTTAGTAAAAAGTAATTAGTGTAAATAGGTCACATATAATGATCCAATTGGCTTTACGCGGAACATACGGAACATATAAAAACGTTAATTAGTCCACTAAAGCTTTATTTTAACGATTATATACTTCAATTAAAACTTCATTCAAGTTGATTTTACGGCTCGTGGTCGAATACGCATAGACACGTATATGTAGCGACAAAAAAGTTTTCCTCTCATTTCTCCGGCTGATATGTCTGCTTACTTTTTGCTCGCAGAAAGTTACGAACGGTAGCATCCGCTTAGTATTATGTTGGTACGAAGTTTTTCGACTGCCGGCACGTAGTTGACTCGCTGAACAATATTTTCGTACCCGGACAAGCCGATAAAAAGTACCGAGATACTTCCCGTAATTAACCACTATACGATACTGGAAAAAGCAAAAAATCCCACAACCAACGACAGGCAATCATACATTTGTGTCTGTAAGCTGAAAAAAGCCGATAGCGGGACAACTGTTTTATTTAGAACAATGCAATGTGAGCGCAGTAGAAATGGTCAGTTTCAGGCAAGATGGGAGCGAACTTCGCCAGAACAGATTAATTTTCTATGCCGTTCTCCTGTTGGGAACTGCTCCATTATCGATCCTGTTGCTGACGATGGTGGCGTAGGAAGTCGTCGTCGGTATAGTGTTGCGCGCGAGGTCACAGTTATGCAACAAATTGTGATAGGAAACACCTGGATATCCGAGTAAGATTGATTAGATTGCTCGGTTCTAATATCAGAAATAATATGATTTTCGAATTATCCATACAAAGTAATGAAACTCTTTCTCGTAATCACGAGAGCCGTCCCAATAATCGGTATCTTATTTTCCATAGACGATAGACGAAAACTACATATCGGTTGAAATTTATATTAAAATTCATAGGACACACGCGTGATTCTCGCCGCGATAACATTTATGTGTGCAAATTCACGTATTACGCCTCTTCTATATACACTCTCAGCGAAAATTGCGAATGCTATATCACGCAGCCCTCGGGATTTTACGCATTTCACGACTGACGATCAATTGCCTAGTTCTTACTCTACGCAGCAGCAGACATAGGTTATGATGAAATATTAATTTCCGAGAATTCCATGCAGCGTAGCATATAATTAAACCGTTGGTAAAAAAAAGTGTCCATAGAGTTTCGTAGTTGAATGTTCCATCATTGAATGTTTTTCATAGGTACACACAAAGCACAAAATTCAAAGGAAGTTTGAAATGGACGGTACGTTGAGCTGATTCAGCGGACAAGGAAAAAAATAACTGTATAAAACAAAAATAAAAACTATATTCAATGATAATTTTTAAATTTGAAATAAAATATTCTCTATGCAAAATTTTTGTTACATAAATATGCTGCTAAAATTGAAATTAACGCTATAAATATATCATATAATATTCTAGAGATTATTTTAATTATGCAATAACAAATATTGATAAAGAATTACAGTAAAAATATATATATGAATGTATTTTAACATCTATATAATACAGTTTTACGGAACACAATTCGTGTGAAGTAAGAAAAAAACAATGATCAGAAATTAACCCGAATATGGCAAATATATCGATAATATCGAAGACTATTATGAGAAATCTACCGAAGTAGTTAAAAGCATTAAAAAAGATATAAATATATATATATATATATATATCGTACCAATAATTCGATAAGCCGCTCGATATCCTCGACCATTACTTTCTTCCTTTTTTAAATATCTACCGACTCATGAAGTAGCAATCTGTTTCAGTAATAACTAAAGTAAACGACTGGACGTGACGTCACTCGCTTGCAGTGCCACTAAGTCGGACGCAATGAAATTGTCGAAGAATGAAGGAAACTGATATTTCTAAGATGGACAACAAATTTGCATTTGCATCGCGCAGCCATTACGCATTAATGTCGAACTATGTTTACTCCAAGAATTAATATGCGCCATATTATCTTTATTTACTACTTTCGTTTCGTAAACAACAATTTTTAATCGAATATTAAAAAGTAGAATGTGTCTCGATCAATATCACTTTGCCTTAACAAAGAGATTCGTTTAATTACGGAATATTTTTTTAGTTTCCTCGTGATTTGTGATGCAATTGAATTTTTATGAAATTTCAATAAAACTTCTTGATCGCATTTTTCCCTACGAATAATGAAAAACCGATCGAACAAGAAAGAACTAAAATTTATGAATAGCTTATCTAGAAATATTGAATTCTATCGTATGAAGTAAGAAAGTTAAGTTTATAAATTATTTGAATAAAGTAAAACTCCAATGTAACTGCAATTATCAGTGCTATTAACGCCAGCATTGTTCCTCTAACTAACATCGCGAAACTAATTGACATAGTATTTGATTCAACTAATTATCCGCCTGTGCGTCAGTGTCTTTTCGTGCTTGTCTCTGTTTCCACCTAGCCTACTAATTACGTACAAATATTCTGATGCACTAGAATTCCTTTTGTGTAAACTTATGCCTTCGTACACATGTATACTGCTTGCGCAGATGGGAAATCGCACAAGTTCAAGTGGAGAAGCAAACATCATCTATGCACTTTGTAGTTTCGACGCGTATGCTTGCTGATACTGATTGTGTGTCGTTGTTTATCATACTATTACTGTGATTGCCAAAGGCGTACTGCAATTTACGAATTATATTTCTAGATACTATTATTATATTATCGAGATTAGTTTTTGCATTAAATCACGAAGATTTTCACCAGCGCGCAATTTCCAAATTCGATATTGCGTATAAGATATGTACGCGAAGAGAAGTTAAAAATGGTATTGAAAAAGTTAAAATATATATTATTATATTAAAGAATATATTGAATAGGCAATAAATTTGTAATTTCTAGTTTCTGTAGTTAACATATGATACCGCATTTTGACATAGTTCTGGTTCGTTGGAATCTCATTACGTTCACAGAGAATGAGACGCGAGGCGTCGCACTAAAGCGCGAACAAAATGGGTGCATGCGACATTATAATTAATTAATTACGTCTGAAACTTACCGATTGTGGTGAGTACTGTCAGAGAATAGAGAAACGCCTTTGCAAAGTTCCATTCGTAATCCGGCACACGGCGGTCCGTTACAGTTTCACTGGTAGAACTCCCGGTATACGTCCCGGCATTCTGGGTCGCCATCATGTCCTCCGTGATCCTTTTCACTAGTTGCTCCTGAAATCGTGCGATCTCCTGGTCGGCCAATTTTGTCCAGTTCTCACGGTAGAGAACGTTCAAATGCTCCGTGATTATCCATATGTTCTCCACGGTCTTCGTCCGGGCTTCGTGATTCAGCTTTCATCATACACAGCAAAAGTTATTAATTAAGCGATGTTTGAAATATCGTCAGGTACTGTGGACTACGTCGTCTACGTTCGTCTTAAGATTATAATTGACGTATCCTGTCGATTAAATTAAATTTGCGCGCGCTCGTTAATTAACACACGTCAGGCGGATTTGAATGCAGCATGTTTGGTACTTTACATCTTGTGACAAATGGTGAACTCTGTGTTCTAATTGCTTCGTTATTGAACCGCACAGCAGAAAAATTCACAAGTTTTGCACAGAGAAAAAACAAGTTAATAAAACGCAACAGAAAATTGTTTTTTCCAGTAACGGTACGATAAAGTCAGAGGAATTATTTATAAAAAGAACACGAATATTCAATCGTTTGCCGATGAGCGATTGCTATCGAGAGAACAATTCGTTGTTGCTATTATTGGCCGGAAGCAACAGACAGCAGCCTTTGTGCCGATGTCCTCGGGGAATACGCTTTTCCTGTAAAGCGTAAGGATAGCAGAAAGAAAGCACGATCGATAAAACTTCGTTGAAACGAGCGTTCGCGCCAGAACGCACCGATAATTCGATTGACTTCGGGTTCACTGAGGTCATCTCAGGTAGAAAAGCGGAATGAAACCGAAGACGTGACGATAAATCGAGAACTGCTGCTGCCGGAACTGTTTGCTCCTCCTCAAGGGAAAGAGAAGCAAAAACAAGTTCGTGGCTTACGTTCGCGACAACGGCAACGACACTGTCATGCACTCATAGTGTATCGACAAATCTGTTTACTCTCCATCTATTATTCTTACTTTTATTGTACTTGCTCGTATGTACACATCCTACACAATTATTAAGAAATATATCTACGACTTTTTACGTTCGAAAAACAGTTTCGTCATATATCTTTGTTGAGTGGTCACATAACTTCTTATAGTCTATGATTTACAACTATACTTGAACATAACGAGGATACTTCTTGAAGGAAATTGTGCCTGATTTGAAATATATACTCCAATATTTTTCACTTACGTTAAAAATAAGTGTGCGATACTCTCTAAAATACCGTACTACTAAGTAAAATTTTTACTAAAAAGAATCTCAAAATATGGTAAATTTATAGAAGAATTTCATTCTCTCACCTGTTTTATCCAAGCGCTGGTATTTCTCCTGGTGTGCTGATTTCCAGCTATCGTCGTGGCGAGTGCCCTCTGTTGTAGGCCAACACCGTCAATGGTCCCACTTTCGATAGCCAGGAAGATGAAGCTGCCCAATAGGGTGTAAGCCACAAGAAGAGCGCATATTCCGATGTTTATGATAAACCCCTTCAAGAAAGAATGCTGGCTGGCTTTGTCAGGCACACCGCCGAAGCACAAACATCTCACTTGGCGAGATGAGTGCGTCTTCGAGCGTTCCGTCGATCTCTTTAGGGACGAAGTGTTGCCGTTATTCGCCGGCTTAAAGCCCTCGTAAGCTCTATAATGTCTGACGTTGTCCTTCTCCATCCTCTCTTGTTTGTCCTATCTACAAAATCACCGAGTCTTATCGTCGTCAGTTTCGCGTTTATCGCCGGATATGTCGTCGTACACGCGCATTTGCCATCTACCACGTATTTCTAGTGATGGTGACGCCTTTTGTGACACATAGAGTGTCAAAGATTTAGCACTCTGTTCGGGCGCTAATTTGTCCACTGCTTACATTTATTCGGTCTCGTCATGATTTTACATAGAATTATCTCGGATTATCATACTTCACGATAACAAAGATTCTCGGCAGGAATGAAGTTTTATAATAGGGTTTTCTTCGTACACGCGTCCTCGAATCTCGTAGACTCAATCGCCACAACCGCATGACTGGAGCTTCGCGTGAGTTATAATCTAGGGGACGGATCTCTCTTCGCGTTTTTTCAACTACCACTCAAATTCGCTGGCGTCATTCGGCCAGACGTCACTATGATTTTCGTCACTGTCGATTTCTTATTACGAGGCGCGGTTGAAATCGCTCGACTGAATGATGTCCTGGAAGGATCTTCTGACAGCAAAGGGACGCTCGATCGTACATAGTGTGGACACTTCCGTCATTTTTCCATAGCAGGATCGTCCTGGCTGGAATGTGGATTGGAATTCTATAGAGAAAATCGATGTACGAAATATGTTCTGTGATATTAGTTACCTCTCAGAACTCTTTTGTTGTGGACACTGATGGCTGATATTATAAAAATATTCTCTTGCAAAGGAGAAGATATTTTAAAGAACCGATTTATAAATTCAACCTTTTTGCTAGCTCTATAATATTTCAACATTATTGCAATTATATAGCTTTACAATAGTAACGTTATGAAAGAGATAGATAATTACGTATAGTACTCAAAACATAGATTTTGTAAAAAAGAGGAGAGTAAATATAAAATGAATAATTATTCATTGTTCATCGCGTTCATTCGCCTGAATGCGACATCAACTTGCGCGGTGATAACGGCTCGAGTTATGTGACTTAATTTAAGTTCGTAAACGAATCGCTATACAAGCGTTACTTCGCGCGCCGACTAATGCATTACCACGTAGTACGTAGAAAATTAATGAAAAATAACGCCTTCAAGAAACTGGGGCTGCTAATCTGTTCTCCCTTCTTCTCACCCTTTATATTTCTCACTCTCATCGAGAAAACAGAAACTTAGAGAAAGGCACGGAGGAAATTTTCGAAAGAGTCTCCATGAGTCACTTAAACTTTCTCCCTACCGTCTGAATACGAAGCCGCTCAGTTTTCCGCTCTCCCATCTTTCCGTCGGCTTCGAGTGCAAAAAACGAATGGCAGCGGAAGAAGGTGAAGCACAGTTCGTCGGCAAGCGATGGAAACTTCAAAGCCTCATTTCAACAAACTGGATTTCCGTAATAAGCAAGTCCGATGCACGTCCATGGGCGCTGATTCGCGCTCACTGAATGTTTTAGCGAAGCTTTTTCCTTATTTTATCTCTTCGTCCTCGACGAATTTCCGCGCCGTTTTAATGCACCGTCGAGCTGTCTCGTGAGCGCTCTCTCTATAGAGAATTGGACTTTCCGCACGTTGGAAAGCCGATTAGCACAACCGAAGTCGAATCAGTAATTTACTTGTATCTTTCATGTGCCACGAGAGGTACGCTCGCATTCGCCGCATGTAAATAAATCGCGTGTTGTCTTCCAGACCCGGTCTATCTTGAAACTCAACAACATTCTTGCCACTTTCGTGCTTCGCTGGGTCCTGAAAGAAAAAGAGATTCAATTACTTACATTACTTTGCTCGAAAGAACGTCAAGTAATTAATGTTAAGACTTTCGATCATTAATTGACCGTGTCGCGATAATTGATTGATGCTTGTCTCACAACTGTCGGAACTATATATCCATGCGTCGCTCATACTTTTTTCACGAGAAACACTCGTACTTTCGTAATATTATAGAGAATTCAATGCACTCGGACGAATTTTATTTCTAACCGGAATTTGTGAGAACCCGACATCGGCATTGCTCGTCCGTGACTGTTTCGACGTCCTAAGAAAGACGGTTGAATTCCAGAAGGACTTTCGACGTAGAATTATTCGAGGGCCCTGGGGGAAATCGCGAGAAACTTTCGAGCTACGTGTTTTCCTGTATACTCGGTCACCTGGAGCTTTCCAACGGGGACAATAATCGACGGTCATGGTAGACTCTGCCATTATGGGAAGTACAGAAAAAGGAGAACAGAGAATGAATCGAGAGACGAGCAATAGACGGCTGCGAGATAGAAGTCCGCGGATCGAGAGGAACGACGATGGATTCCGCGCAGAAAATATTGCTTTCTTCGTACGTTCGACATCCATAAATGCATAGCAAGATCAACCGATCCGCGCGTCACCGTCCTCTTTATTCTTCACTGTGATTTAAGACGAGAACTCTCGGGGAATACGGGCGGTTTTGAAACTTTCATGAAAAATAATTTGCATAATGCGTAAGCCGGTGGTGGATGATCCGCAGAAATGTAGCGTAATATTTTCAATATTAAAATACGCGAAATAATATCGCGTCGCCGGTGTAGTTTCAACGAATGCAAACAATGTCTTTCCCGTAATTAGACAATATTCTCTAATTATATATCCCGAAATTAATTCCAACCTGACCATAACAGTAACGCCAGAAGTGGAGCTTAATAATAGCGAGGGAAAGTCAGATTTGGTGCTCGCTCGCAGAATAGCGAACATCTCCCAAAATTCACCCTCTACTGGTCATTCGCATTCATAGTTGTCTAAATATGCACAATGTACACAGTCTTGTATAACGAGACCACTTCGACAATCACATTCGCGAGAATACAGTCGAAGTAAGCACGTCGGATACTAACTCGACGCTAATTTATCGTTTGGCGTGATCGATCGTTGCGCTCGATCGGCTCCCGTTCTCTGCGGCGAAGAAACGATCCCACCGCGGAACAAACTGCCAAGCCAGGCTGCTGATCGTAAATCGGATCTGATCTCTCCTTCTTTCGTCTCGATTTGCAGGCCCCTCTCCCCCTTTTTACGACTTATTTACGAGCTTTCGTTTCTGACATCGTGAGTGTTCTCAAAACCATTGATATTCTATTCTTATTGTCTATCTTTATTTATCACTTTTTGCGAATAATTATCGATATCCCCTTTAAGCTTGTATATCGTGCGAACACGACGTTGTAAGACTGCGAGATCACTGGTGTGTAACAAATGCCGTCCGCCTTCATTATTCTAAAGATGATAAAAGCATGCTTCGAGAGAATTAACCTCGATTTTTTTTTCATAAAAAAAAAAAACATTTATCGATCGGATATTTAAAGAAAATATTCTATGAAGTCCGCAGTAATATACATATGTAATTTATACTGTAAATCCCAAGTATTAATAAGCTTTAGTTTAAAAGAAGACAGCTCGCGCAGGAATAATTATACTGAATAAAAACAAATTAAAATGTACATGTTCCATAGTACTCCGGTTTCCAGATTGTGCCGAATATACTATCACTTCATGGAATTTCGTTGAAATTTCATCAAAATTAAAACTGCACGTTTCATGTTAAAACGTTATTTCAGAGATTGCATCGCAGCTGGCTCGTACATTAGCATTTATAACCAATTCGCAACGAGAATCGAAGGATAACCAGCACAAAAGTCGATTACATCACCGACGGCTTCGTCGTCCACGAAGGTAGAGCTTTATGGGGATGGTTCTCGCAGTGCGGAAAAGCATAGATAGACAGAAGAGAGATGAGGAGAGGCAGGGGAAGAGTGACAGCGGATCGAAAATGTGTAAGGGAGAAACGAAATGTGACGAGTAGAGGGACAAGGGGAGAGGCGAAATGCAATTTTTCCGTTCGGCGCTTTTTCCAGCGACAGGGGAACCACCTGTGCTCGTCTCAGCGACTTTTAAATTCGTACCATTGTGGGCTCTATTTGCTGAAAAATGTTTATTCAATTTCGTTTACCGGCACTGCAAGATATTTACCCGGTCGCTTTTGCTCGAACAGTTCTCGCACCACCGCGAACGATGGGTATTGGACGCAAAGATGCGACGAGAGAGGGAACGAGAACGATCGGATAAGTTCACGATGTGTGTAAGACCGCATTTTCCTATGCTTTTAGGGAAGCTACGTCACATGAGGATATTAAAAATACATTTCAGCTTCAGGAAAAAAAAGTTTGCATATTTTCAGGTGAATGACGTTGACCCAGATTGTATTGATGTTTAAAGTAATGTTTGAGATTTATCGCATGATGGAAATTTGGAGACAAATTGTAGGAATTGCACGAGGAATTGTATAGAAATCGTGAGTCACGTAGAACATTCGAAAGCTTTCCTCGAGCGACGTACGATTGCATTTCTCGCGGATATAAATCCATAGAATAAATCGGGCGATCTTAATCATTGCGACGAAAATAGGGTCGTACATGCGGGCTGAATTACGATGAGTCGAGAATGAAGTTACGAGTATTCTCTCTCGACTCCGCGTCGACTTTGTCCGGTTTTGTGTATCAGCGAACGAGATCGCTGTCGGCGATAGAAATTTATGGCAGAGTCGAAACCCTCGAAAATTTCATTAAGCCGTTCGTATAGATATTGAGAATCGACGGCGAACCGATCGAAAATGGAAGTTACTATCACGATACAATACATTTGACATGACCGTCTAGACTGCGCGCGCAAAAAATGAGTCTATGTGGTTTTATGCGCATACATGCGTCAATTAATCATCAGGAAGGGCAAATATTTTATAAATGTGTGTGTGTGTTAAAAAGGTAATGCATTCAAAATTTTAAAAAGTACCATTTTTGTAATATAAAATTGTGAGATGTTTTAAAGAGATTATTAAAAATATTATTGAATAAAAATACAAATAATTTAAAGAATTATAACATTTAATCGCACACAAGATACGTCAGAATTTAATCCTTTCAGCAGCATCCAATAATTCTTGTTTTCGCAAATGGAAAAGATTAAATGATATTTCTAACTTCTGCATCGATCATCA